ACAGCCACGGGAACGGGCCTTTGGCTCCCCACACTCAGCTCCAGGCAGGCGCTGTCCATCAGGCAGCTGATGCTGGGCCAGAAAAGCGCTTCCTCACCTCCCACCTGGGGGCATTTAAATGGGAGGCAAGCACTAGTGGTTGTGACACTGGAAAGAGACTTCTAACTTGAAAGTAAATGTAGGAGAGGACTGCTCAAATGCCAGTGTGCAAAGAAACCGTTCCATACCTTCTCTCCAGCTCTGGGGGCCTGCTGCAGTTTCTCATAATCTTTCTTGGTCTCCAAAATTTTTTTCACAAGTCCACCTGTTGAAATGAAAATAACTGGTTTTAGCTGGGCGTGGTGGCACACACCTGTAATCCCAGCACTCAGGAGGCTGAGGCAGGAGGATCACTGCGAGTTGTAAGCCAGCCTGGGCTACAAAGTGAGTTCAAGGTCAGCCTGAACTGTACAGTGAGACCCTGTCTCAAAAAGACGAAAGAAAGAAAGAAAGAAAGAAAGAAAGAAAGAAAGAAAGAAAGAAAGAAAGAGGTTTTATGTTACAGCTTAATTCTCTGCCCCAGACACGAACTGAATGGGTGGGAGGATGGGAGAACCCTAACCTTAACCTCTCTTCCAGGCTGAAACAGTTTCATCATCTCTGTCTGATAGAGACAGGGTATAACAGAAGGGTGCAAGAGCTGGTGCCAGAAACTATGGCAGAAACTATAAAATTTCAAAATGTTCCAGGGAGATCAGCTGTGTGAAAGGTGGAAAGCTTCAGAAACAAAAGAAACTTTCTATTTCCAAAAACTAAGAAGAAATGTAGATTAAACTCAAAAATATGACTAGCTATTACACACAGATACAACAGTTCTGAATTGTTTCTAAGTGCTAATACTGCTTTCAAATTGGGGCACGATTAGTGAATTGCTTTTATAATTACTCATGGGATAAACATCCACTTTCTGAAAATTATTGTTTTGTGCAGCTCAGTGGTTAAGTGCTTGCCTAGCATGCACGAGGCCCTGGAGATTTGTATGTAACCTCCAACCACAAATCAGTACAGGACTGGCTGAATGATTACAGCACATCCATATGGTAAGGACCACGAAGCCAGAGAGAGGAATGAAAATTATTTCTTTGTATTGCAATGGAATAAATGCCAGCATAGACTGTCAAGTAAAGAATAAAAGGCAAGACAGAGACAAGGGCAGGTACTGATAAACACGCACGCAGCAGCGCCCCCTCCCGGACCACACTCTGTTGGCCCAGCCAGGCGGGCCTCAGACAGCTGGTCTCACCCCAGGGGCAGAGCCCAGCACCACAGCCCCTGGTACCAGACAATTCCAAAGCGCCACGCAGGAGGCACACACACACTATGCACATGCGTGTCGGCAGCAGGACTCACCGTGCTTCTCGTCACCCTCCAGCTCTGCTGCTGGCACCTGAGTAGGAACAGGAGGGAAGAAGACTCAGGCAGGCTGAATTCTCATGCTGTAGTCATGCTTCTGCACATTACCAAAAAGGAAAGACAGAATCCAAGGCAGAAAGCTAACTGTAAAATCAGGAAAACTGTCCACACAACCTTACAAGCCAGAATTCTAACACAATGTGTCTAAACAGAATTACTAGATGCTTTACCATCTGGTGAACTAACCATTTCAATTTCTGACATTTCAGTGAGTGGAGGGGCAGCTTCCACCACAAAATGCTCATCCTCCTCATTGTCGGAAATCTGTGAGTCTCTGATCACGTTGGAGACGGTTTTCCCACTCCCTGTCCTGAATGAGAGGAAACAAGAACGCATCAGAAACGCTGTGTCTGCGCAGGCTCTCGTCAAGCCTGTGCCTCTGGAACAGCAGCTGTCCTCTGCGAGGAATTTAACTGCCCCTTCACCACCACCCAGGGGAGGACGCCAGCCAGCAAGGTGACTCAGGCAGCCAGGGTCCCAGGGGAGGCTCAGGCAGGTGCACCAGGGCCTGCCCTCCCTGGCCCTGCAGCCGCCTTCTAAGGGCAGAGAAAGAAAGCCCAGCATTTTCCCACGTATTTTAGGATTTAATTGTCTATATATATACGTGTCTTCCCCTCTGCACCATCTGCAACGCACACTGCCTTCCCTTCCTCCACAGCAAGCTTTCCCAGCACACACATCACCCCACCCCAGGCCAGTGCATCCAAACCAGCCCCCACCGCACACCCGCCAGCCCCCTCACCTGTCTGCTGTTAACACCTCCGTGCTCTCCTGTCGCTTGACCCGGGGAGGCGCTGGCCTTGCACTGCCCGGCCGAGGGAGTCTTCTAAATCCAGACATGCGAACAGCAAGAGCAACACCAAACACGTGTCAGAGTGGACCAGAGAAGAGTAGGCCAGCACTAACCCTCCGCCCCACAGCGGCATCAGCGCTAAAACATCCTCCACCGAGACAGCTGGGATCCCAACCAACACAGCATGTCCACGGGTCAAACTCAAGGCAGCTCCACCGTGGCAAGGCACTCCCCTAAACTGTGAGATGCTCTACACAGTTATACAACACAGACACAGAAAATTACACAGGTAGGGGTTTTTTTTCTTTATTTTTTGTTTTTGTTTTTATTAGTTTTGGGCAGTACTGGAGATTGAATTAAGGGCCTTCATGCTGAGCTACATCCCCAGTCCTTTTAAAATCTTTACTTTGAAACAGGGTCTTGATAAGTCATTAAGTTGTCCAGACTGCGCTCAAACTTTTGATCCTCCTGCCTCAGCCTCCCACAGTGCTGGGATTACAGGCGTCTGCCACCACACCCAGCCATTTTCCGCTTTTTTTGTAGAGTAATTCCTCATGATTTTTCATGAGCACTGAATAAACAATGGAGGGCACAGCGAGAAGCCTCACAGCTGCCTCCTGGGTGTGACCGCTCTGCCCAGGCCATGGGCCCCACACAGACCTGGCACTGGACGGAAGCTCCTTGGGGGCTTCAGGGTTCTCTGATGCCTCTGACTTCTCTGCGGCAGGAGGCCCAGGTCCAGCTTCTCCTTCTAAACAGGCGACAATGCAATCAGCAACTCCCAGAAGCACTAACACTATTCTAATATTTAATTCAAATAGATTCAGTGAAAAAAAAAACCAAATAGATTCAGTGATTTAAATATAAACGTTAATTCCAATATTCTATTCAAATGTAAATATTTGAAAAGGCAGCAATCACATACCTGCAAATATAACGAGCTATTTTTTTCATCCATCATTTGGATGAAGATAAAACATGTCTGCTCTCTGCATTTGGTGATGATTTGGGGAACGTGAGTGTGCTCAAGTACAAACCAGTTCAGTTAATCAAGAAATAAAATGCAAAAGGCAGGTCCACCAACCCAGCAATGTAACTTAAAGGAAATACACTAAGAAAAGAAATGGACAGGTGTAATGCCATCGTTCTACTATGATTAATAATATCACCCAGTAACACAGCTAATAATTACATAGAGTCTTCTGCGGTCCTACCAAGATGTTCCTTTATGCTACAAGCAGTGGACTTACCGGTACTTTTTCCTTTCTTCTTCATATTTTTTGTGTTTTAAAAATGTGTAACATTGGCTATTGCCATACTGTTTTAATAATCTGAACACAGCTTTCTCCATCTTGTAACTCAGCAAGTTACAAGCCCAAACTAGGACAAATTTACTCTACCCCTTAAAGTAAAAAGAATCTATACTTCAGAAAGTTACCAAGGCAAGTCAGAATTTGAATCCTGGAAATATAATCTGGGGTGAAAAATCCTGAAATGCAGTGTTTTCAGGATTGAAACATAAACATATATATAATACACATACAAGATTAAAACTTAAGATATAGGTTAAATCTTAAATCAAGGTGCTTCCTTAGCTCACACTCACAAGTGCAGGTGCACAGTATGGGGTAGGGCACACACTCACGCCTGCACACACACAACCACACCAACACATCAAGGCCACACCTACCTGCATCACTGGCTGAGTCACCTAAAAAAAAAAAAAAAAAAAAAAAAAAATCACATCAGAAAATTACTTTGTCAGCCTCAAGATATTAGATGAGCTGAACAGAATCAGGAAATGCACCATCCACGATTTTGGGTTTTCTGATGGGTTTTTGTTTTGCTTTGTCTTTTGAGACAGGGTCTTGCTATGTGGCCCAGGCTGGCCTCAAATTCACAGTGATCCTCCTGCCACAGCCTCCAGAGTGCTGGGATTACAGGCATGCACCACCAAGCCCAGCTGCCATGTATGATTTTGGATGACAAAAAGGGTGTTTCCTCAGAGCCTCTCTTCCGGCATCCCACTGACATTGTACACTATTCTTTTCAACTATAAATCACAAAACAGCACATAAAACCAGCAGCAGGGACAGGAAGAAAGTCTCTCCAAGAGACAATTCAAGCACGTAATGAGATAAGCTGGTGAAGCCAGGAAGCCACAGGAAAACCACCTTAGAGGGCAGGAGATGGCTGGACGCCACCAAGCCTGGCCAGGTGAACGTCCAGGCCCCTCACAAGACTGGAGAGGCGCCCCACAGCTCCACACAGCCCACGGAGCCCCAGCCCACTCGCCTCTGCCCTTGTACTGAAGGCCCTTTCTCTTCAAGCACCACCCCGGGAAAGTGTGCTCGCAGTCACAGCAGGTGAGCGCAGGACGAGGGAAAGGGTGGACAACCTCGGCATCGCTCTCAAATACAGGATGCCCCTGCGGAAAGGCCAGCATGGCACAGGCTCCATGACAGCCAGAGACGCTGCAGGGGCGAGAAGGCACGCTCATGCGCACCCCACCTCCACACAGGGACGGCACCCAGAGGACGCCCGGGCACGCGGGAAGCGCAGTCCTCGGCTACCTTGGGTCTGTGTACTGGCGGGAGGACCTCCTGGGAGCACCTGCGGAGGGGGCTGGGAGGCCAGAGCTCATGGGGCAGCCTCCAGAGGTCACACCGGGGGGCAGCAGAGAGGCGGCAGTGGGCTGGGGCGGGAGCACTGGCCCCGGTCAGCAGAGGCGGAGACCAGCAGCCGCTGGCAGGTGGCTTCGGAGGCCCGGCATGGCTCACCGGGCAACAGGGGCTGGGGCTCCTCCCACCCGGGGACAGGAGTGCTGAGGAGAGGAGCAGGAGACCAGCAGAGACAGGAGGCAGACAGGGTTCCAAAGCCCAGGGCCCCTTCTCCAGAACTCGTGCCATGGGGGAACTGGGGCGGGAGCCTGGGGTCACGTGGCGCTCAGAAAGGTAATTAAATCATGAGGTCAGGGCCAGGAGGCAAGCGAGCACAGAGATCCGTCCACAACTCACTAGGATCCCTAACCCAGTGGACCCTGAGGCCCCAGGGCACAGTGCACCTCCACTTCCAACAGAGAGCCATTCTCCAGGTTTCTCCTGCTCTCTCGGCAGACCCAGTCTCCCCCAGACCTGGAGCCTATGGCCTGCCCTCTGCTGTCCTCTGGACCACTCAGCCTCCCAAATTAACACACGCCTTAGAAAATCTAAAGTGACAATGTCACTCCCAAAGACACCGCTGCTCTCAGGATGAAGGCTGGCGGCCCTAGCGCGGCCACACGAGCCCGGCAGGACCCGGCCCGATGGACCCTGCCTACTCTCAGTGTGTGCACTGTGCCACCCAGCTATCACCTGAACATGCGCCCTCGGCACTCCTTCCGGTACGGCGGGCCACCCCAGGCCGCAGGTCGCCACCGTCCCTCTGCCCAGACTTGCTGACTGTGCTTCCTCCTAGCCCGTGTGCCACGGGGGCGGAAGCCAGCCTGACTCTGCTCACCAAAGCGCTCCCCGCCTCGGGCCTGACACACAGCAGGCGTTCTGCACACACCTTCTGTCGGGATGTATGGACACACATCAGCCCCCACCTGGCCACACCACGCCTGTCCAATGCGAGGCGCAGGTGCCCCGCAGGCCAGGGCGGAGCTCTGGGGCCTAAGACACCTGCAATCGCGTCTTCACCACCGCTCTCTGCAAGCTGAGAAGAATGAAGCTGAAGCAGAATTATACCTAGAACATCACAAAAACTGCGCGGCCGCTGCTTCAGGGTATTGAGAAGTCTCCTTGGAGCCCGCCTGTGGGGTGACCAAGCAGTGGCCCTGAAGCCTACTTGGGGGTCATTTGGGACGCCGCCATCCTGACAGCAGCCACGCTACCTCACCAGGAGGCAAGCAGGCGCACGGGGGCTCCTCTGCTACCAAGCCCTGCCTTGGCGCTGCTGGTCCTGAGAAAGGCGAACCCACACCTCTGCGGAACAGAGCCCTTGACGAGGACGGGCACCTGACGGGCACCGATGGGGCCACTCAGCCTCCTCCCACCTGAGCACTGCGGGTCCCTCTGAGCTCCCTGCCTCCCTCCGGGGTCCAGCTCGGTGCTCTCACACCACAGACTGGCCGCATCGGCACCTGAAACACTAGCTGAGCTGGCGTCAGCTTTGTTGGTTCCAGACAGGAAGCAGTTTTAAAATGGTCCTCAGGAGCACGCGCAAAGGCCCGGGCTGACTCACAGCACACCGGCTCACCTCCGCCTCCCACACCTCACGTGCTCCAAGCACGGACAGAGGCAGCTTTCGAAAGCACACATCGAGAAGGCTCCTCGGCCTCCGGCTCTGGGCACGGGGCCAGGCTGTGCTCAGACCCGAGTCCACTGAGGAAGTACACACCCCCACCTACCACGCTCAGGGCCACACGGACTCGACAGTCTCCACCCGCTCCCCACAGCCAGGCCAGAAACTCACGGTAAGCACCCACTACAGGAAACCAGGAGGGAAAGAAAAATATTTTTGTCACAGTGCTACACATACTGAAAAGCCCTCAAATACTTGTCTACTGATTGCTGACTAACGTTCCAATGTTTATAGGAAATTATCAAATACCTGAGAAACAGCACCTTCCTACTACTCAGCAAAAAGGACAAGGGAGGTGCTCAAGGGTCAGGCTCTGAATCAGGGCAGAACCAAGAGCTAGAAAAGTAACCGCCATCAAAGGACGCAGCGCCCTCTAGATGGAAAAACGGAACTGGAAAAGTGTTCCTGTTCCTGAAACCCAATCTCATTTCTTAAAATTATTCAAAGAGATAGTTTACATCAGTCAACAGTTTTGCAAGGAAATTTTTTCAGCTATAAAAATGATTCTGACTTAAAAAGCAAATAGATAATTCCTTATGATCTTTTATGGCGAACACCAAAGAATAAACATGAAATATATAGCCAGGCGTGGTGGCGCACCCCTGTAATCCCAGCACTCAGGAGGCTGAGGCAGGAGGACTGTTGCAAGTTTGAGGCCAGTCTGGGCTACAAAGTGATCTCAAGGCCAGCCTGAACTGCATAGCGAGACCCTGTCTCAAAAAGACCAAAAAAAAAAAAATGGAGCTCTAAAGATAAACGTAAGTTTGGAAATTATAGATTATCAATTTTAGAATAAAGCCCCTAACAATTTTAAATTATCATGTTTGATTTTACAGTGTCAACTATGCTCTACATTCCACGAAACTAGCATCACAGTAAGGACATACACACACAACTCTGCAGTCAAATGAGGCCTTGGGTTCCTTGCTTTTCTTTAGGCAGGGCTACGATTCCACTCAGGTGCATGTTCACAAGCATTCTTCCACTGCACTGCACCTTCTGGCCCAGATATTTTGCACAATTTTATCTTTTTGAAGTTCTAGTAATTTTAAGTAAGCTTTATTAAATTCACATAAATAGAAAGAACATAAAAGCACTATTCATAAAGAATGGCATGATCAGAGCCAGGCGTGGTGGTGCACACCTGTCACCCTACTATTCAGGAGGCTGAGGCAAGGGGACGGCAAGTCCAGGCCAGCCCAGGGAACTTTGAGAGACTTTGCCTCAAAGCAGGAGAGTGAAAAAGGCTGGGGATGCAGCCTGGTACTCTCTGGGTCGAACCCTTACATGATAAAAAAAGAAGACTACTGTACTCCCAGCCCCTAACCAGAGGGCAGATGGAGCAGCTTGTGGACTGGCCACCTCAAAAACCAAACAACTCACTTATAAAATTAAAATTACACTGACCTGGCAAACAAGCAACACCGTCACACAATATTATCTGGACCTCCCCAGTGACCAAGCAAGCACTCAGGTGAGGACGGGCCTTCCTGAGTTCAGATCCCAGCCAGCACTCAGTACACGCCACCCTGAGCAGCTCCTCCCGTCCTGAGCTATGGCCCCTTGGCCTCGAAGACCCTGGTCAGCCAAGGGGACCACATGCTCAAAGCAAGAGTGTGAGGGGCATGCGGCCGCCCAGAGGGCAAATCCACACCCATCGCCTTACTGACCCTCACCCTCCGCTGGGCAGCCGTGACGCCACTGCAGCCACCCTGGCCTGCTCACGGCCGGGGCAAACCTCGGCCCTAAGTTGCAGCTACATGTGACCAAAATGCCATACCATGAAAAATCTTTCTGGAACAATTAGAACATATTCTGGGTTTTAGACACTGTTGGAAAATAATTTTGTTCAGTAAGACAAGAGTTTCTGTGGCTATGTCTACTACACTGTGTTTTTGAGCGGTATGCTGGAGAGGAAATAAACTGTCAGGATGTCTTTAACATACTTTCAAATCACTCCTAGAAACACACAGCTAAAGAGAAGTCAGTGCAGTGAAATACAGGAACTACTCCATGTAGGTCAGAGCTATGTGGGCGGTAGCTGCACTGCTCTACTTTTCTGTATTTTTCACAATAAAAGAGCTTAATCAATAAAACAAAAAGGAAACAAGGAAATAAGCAAAAAGAAAATACGTATGTCTTGAAGACCCAGAAAAACCTGAAACCGTGGAACAGCCACACAGAGAGCGGCGGTGCAGCTCAGCCCACGCAGGGGGCAGGACTCGGCTCCTGCGCGCTCCTCCATCCACAGCCCACGCGCCCTCACAGCAGCCTGCGCACAGCAGCGGCGCTGGGCCGCGCCTGATCCCCACGCTGGCACCGCATAGCCTCCTGCTCTGAAAGCACACAGGCCTCGCTCTAGCCCTAGGCACCGGGGGCAGCCCGGCACAGGCCCCCCGTGGGTCTGGACGTCCCTCGGTGAGACAGTGAGGAATGGCCACATGCAGGCAGACTCTGAAGCTGAAGTCCACCAGGACGATACTTGCACGGTGCCGACACAGCCTCCCCTAGGGTCCTGCCCCCGGGACCACAGCAGCACCAGCAGCACCCAGGGACAGCGCAGGCACAGGCCTCTCCCACCAGGTGGCGCTGCGTCTCTTTGCATCTAGAGAAAACCCCACTGAGAAACGGGGGTGTGCTTGCTGAAGACCAGGCCTGAGTTATTTTCACGCCAGAGATTATATCTATGAGATGCTCAGTAGATGGCTAAAGGACAGTTCTCGTTTACAGTAACCCACACCCCACCCCAGAGCCAGCTTTGCCTCACCCGGTTTGTGACTATCAGATAAACTAAAGTGCTCTGTCGTAAACGGTACGCACATGGCTGCCTGCTTGGCTGAGGCAGGTAAGGCTTCTGGCATCTTGTTCGCTCTCCAGCAGACAGATGCAGCTCCAAGAGGCCCCACAGGCCCCGCTCCAGACCAGGAGCGGGGGCGAGATAGGACTCCTCCCACAGGGCTTGGACATGGGGTCCTGACGACAGGCTGAGGCCGCCTGGCTGTGCCCAACGGCGGTGGCCCCTCAAGCCGTCACCACGGCCCACTCCCTCTCCCGGCTGCTGCTTCCCCCTGTAGGAGTCCAAAGATGACAAAGGCTCTGGAAAGAACACATTCTCACAAAATGGGGCTGAATGACAACACACGCCCACGGCAGAAAGGGTCTGGAGCTGTGAGAAATCCTTCTGCTTCAGCTACCTGGCCACCCTGTATACTAAAGGTCACAACAGCCTGTGCAGCTGTGCAGTTTGGACAGAATCAACGAGGGAGCAGAGGCTGCAAATGTGCATCTCAGGGCCGGTGTCTGAAGGGAAGAAGCACTTGTGAATGGAGCCATGTTTTTTTTTTTTGGTTTTTCTCAAGTACCGGGAACCAAACTCACGACCTTGCGCTTGCCAGGCAGGCGCTTTTGCCGCTGAGCTAAATCCCTAGCCCCCCCCCCCCCCCCGTGCTTATCATTTTAGCAGGAATTCTAGTCTTTCTCACAGTCAGAGACTGGAGTGACCGATATTTCACTGAGGATCACCCCAGCTGGGTGCCACACAACACTGGCAGGGCTGGACGTGATGCAGGGGAAGGACAACCCCCAGAGTTCTTAAGCATGCTTTGTAAAGGCCTTCATCACAGAGAACTGTCAGCAGACCAAAGCAAAGTAACGTAAAGATATAAAAATAATTTCTGTAATCATCCACATTATTTTATAAAATGCCAGTAGCAAGATTAAGACAACATTTTTACTTCAACGCTATCTGCTATTTATACACCTTCTACATCACACACAGACATCTCTTCCTTTTTTTTTTGGTCTTTTTGAGACAGGGTCTCCTATGCAGTTCAGGTTGGCCTTGAGCTCACTTACTTAGCCCAGGCTGGCCTCCAATTCACAACGATCCTTCTGCCTCAGCTTCCCAAGTGCTGGGATTACAGGTGTGTGCCACCACACCTGGCTATATAGACATCTCTATGTACAGATCTACAATGTAGTCACACTGCAGACATTGCACACTGTACACACACACTATACATGTTATGCAAATTAAACCTAAAGGCACAGAAAGATGAACCTAAAGCTGAGTTAATGAAATTATCATTTAACAGCAAATTATATCAAACAAAACGTCAAGTCATCCGATCTTCAGTGTGGCGTGGGAAACTGGTGAACATTAAGGTAGTCAGAATGATTTTTAAAAAGTGTAACTCCACTGAGATATACATATTTCATATCAAAGCAGTGAGGAATTTAAACTAAAGAATATATTTTTCTTACCTATTTCTGAAGTTGCGTTTTCCTGATCGGGTTCTTTATTTAATCCAGACACTACGGAGTTTAAAATTTTAGCTGAAACATTATCCTCCTTCCTTCCTGACATAAAATAGTTAACAACAGATTAAAACCCTGCAAAGGCTCTTGTGTGCAGCTGCTTCAGCTGGGGTTTAAAGGGGGTCTCCGTTGAGGTCCCCAAGCCGCTTGTCTACTCACTGGTCCTCCCAACCGCACGCGAACCCCTCGCACGAGCAGACAAGACTCTGCTCCTCCCAGCACGCCCTCCCTTGGCCGAGACACCCCCTCTCCCAGCTCCTCTCCTCCGCTCCTGGGCCCTCGGTTTCCTTTGCCAGACTCGGCCCTCCTGGCCTCCTGACTTGGGAACCTGGCAAGATCCAGGGCTCAGCACACCCCTCCACACACACCCAGCTGTTGTACTTGTCGCTTCTGCGGCTCTCCCGACCTCAGGTCTATCCGTCCCACCTCCCATCTGCAGCACCCGCCCCGGTATTCCACAGACATCTCAGCTTCAGGTGTCCCAGAGTTAGGCACTGCCCCTCACCCTCCATTCCAACCAGTGACACCACCCGGGTGCCCAGAACCTGAGATGGGTTTTTCTGGCCCTTTTCCTTTCTAACAGGCGGCACCCAACCCACCGTCACAGCTGTCAGCCCCACTGCGAGGCCCCCGAGACCTAACTGCTCTCTCCATGGGCACTGGGTCCAGCCACCGCTGGCTCATCAGACACCACGAGCTCCTCGCTGCCCCCTGGCCTCCACTCCCGCCCTCCAGATCCAAAGGCACTGTCCAGGCCTTTAAAAGCCAGGTCAAATCCTGTCTCTCTCCTGCTCCCCCACCCTGCCTTTTGCCCACACTTCTACAGAGCACACAGCCTCCTGCGCAGCCCCTCCTCCTTCAGTGCTGGGCTTCCTGCCACACACGCAGGCCAGCCTGCCCCGCTCGGACACCCGCAGGCCCTCGTCTCCCCAGCCAGCTTCTGGTCCCGACGTCCTGACTCAGTGAAGCCCTCCTGCTGCCTGCCCCATCCCTGCTTCTCTTGGTTTTGTTTTCTTTCAAGACTCATTGATGACTAACATGAACATGTGGCTCCCGGTTCCCTCCACAATCACGAATCCCTGCAGAATAAGAAAAGTGGCTCCGAGGGGCAGTCTCAGTTCCGAACCCTAGCAGCAGTGCCCTTGGCTGGCCGGGGTGCTCTCCAGCTCTGCCCAGCAAGGCCCACAGTCCTCCTGCCCCTGTCTACCCTGCCCAGAGCATAATGCTCTGGAGCCCAGCCCACGTCCTGCAACACAACACCTACAGGACTGCCCACAGAGCACCAGGCTTGGTGACCGCTCAGAAGCAAAGATCAGGCAGCAAACGGTCTCAACTCACAAATATTAACTCGTGGCCATGCCGTAGCTGAGGCTCACTGAGCACCTTCAAGGAAGGTTCTTTACCAGCTTTAGCTTTACTGTAGTAAGCGTTATGCTCTTTTTCAGGGAAAAGCCAATTTTCACTGATTCTACAGTCCCTTCTTACTGACATGAAATTGCACAATAAAAACATAATGCTGCAGAGTTCTCAAACTCTGAGATTAAAGTGTACTCACTCAAAAGCTATCAATTCTGCAGAAATTATCATATTCTTATGCCGAATGTGTTTTGGGTACTACAGGCATTCGAGAGTGACTTGAAGGGTCAGTGTACATCTCACAAACACAGCACTCCCACACTCTGTGGCAGATGCGAGGCTCACCCATGAGCAGAACAAAGGTCTGGTGTCTTGTGCAGCTCCGCGTAGTGGTGCTGCCCACATGCCAGCCTGCTCAAGCAAAGGGGAATGTCCAGTAGAGTGAGCCCACAAGGGTCAGTGCCTGGCTAGCAGGTGGGGAAGACAGAGCCTACCAAGCTGCTGGCAGCTCAGTGTTTACTGTCTTAAAGCCTGTAAGCCTCTGTTAATGAAGTGTCTTAAAGATGACACGAGGGCTGCGAGTATAGCTCGGTGGTAGAGTGCTTGCTGAAATTAACATTGTAAGGCCCTGGGTTCCATGCCCAGCACTGCAAAGAAACAAAAAAATCACACACGAAGAACCTGACAGCATGAGCTCACCAATAATCACAGAGGCAAATATCCTGAGCGGTCAGAAACAGGGATGATACAGCTGTCTGCTTAGAAAACCCAAAGACTCAACCTAAGAGCTACCGGGTTAGGGCTCACCAGCAAGGCTGTATTTACGTTACACTTACAAAAATCAAGAGGACCAACAAGTATCATTAAAAACAGTGAGAGGCACCGTGAGGTCCTGATTTCAATCCCCGGTCCCAAAAAAACAAAACTACAACAACAACAACAAAAACCTATGAGGGGGAAAGGGCACAGCATTCCCAAAGAAACTGAAGACAAAATACGCTCTCAAGTCGTCACCGAGATGAGCAGACACACCCAGACTTGCACACGCGCCTCCCAGGAGGACGGGGACACCCTGTCAACTTGGAGTTAAGGGATCCAGTCTCTCCGAACTAAGGAAACCTAAGTTTAACACAAGTCAGTTAAATTCTGAGGAATGAGTCTGCTTGTTTTGTGGGAGGTGAATTTTCTGAGTGAGGACAGGACGGTTAAAATGCATCTGGAAGAATAAGCAAATGAAAAACAGCTTGCCCCTTCTGTGGGAAGAACTCTGACGGGAAACTCGGAGTGAAATAGAAGACAGTGGAGATTAAACAAGCACAGCCCCAGACTACAGATGGCATCGCTGAGCAGAAGAGAGAGACGCAATGAATCCGGAAGAGGCCGTGTGACAGCTGGCGAGGTGCACTGAACAAACAAACTTAGAGCCTCACCTTACACCTGAACTAAAACAAGATTCATTGAAATGATTAAATATAAAAATGCATGGTAAAGCACTAATCACCATGTCTCAAATCTCTGGACAAACTACTAAAAGCTTCAAGCACCTAAAATGAAATACGCAGGCAAATCAGAAACCAAACCAAGCATAACTGGTAGGAACAAACTAAAAAGACAGAAGAAACACACACAGTAACTGGCACAGATGCCCTTAACACCAGCGGTTACCAGGGGCATAAGCAGATGAAGCAGCAGAACGCCCGGCTCCAGAGCCCACGCGGAGGCAGGCAATGAAAGGACAGGCGAGGGGGAGACATCAATCAAGCTACTGACATCGGAGAGAGCACAACTGCACTGTTAATTTAATTTCCTGTTTTTCATCTATGAAACCAGCACGTCGTCAAAACCCTGGAGAAGGGCGAGCAAGAGGGCAGAGCGAGAGCAGTCCGGGTGAAGACTACACCACACCCACACCCACACCCAGGGCCAGTGATGCCGACACCTCGCCACTGGCAGCATGGAAAGCGGACAAGGCTGTGGCCAGAAGCCACACTCACAGCCTGCCTACTGTCGGGAAGGGCAGGACTCACCACATGGGCTTCCCTGCTGCTGGAAAGTGCCAACTACTGCGTTCTTGCCACACTTGTGTAACACACACTTTAGGAAGGGTTGTTTTTCAGACAGCACCTCTTCTCATTCATGCAGTACTGAAAAGCAACTTCCAGCGTGGATTACAGAGGAGCCTCCAGCACTGGGGCTGGGCAGCACTTCCCGGCCCTCGCCTGGCTCTGGTCTGTCTGCAGCTCTGTTGCACCCAGAGTCCATCCTCACACAAACCAGCCAGGCCCGCGAGCTCATTTTCCCAGGGTCCAGTGCTAACGTGTACCATTTTTAAATGCGCAGTCATCATTGGCCTCTATGTTCTGGCTCCAGCCAGCACCAGGATGAAATTTTATCTACCGGTGACAGAGAAAGAGTCCACAAAGCCAGGATGACTGACAAGTATTTCTGGAAAGTGAAAATTCAATCACACCCTGAAGATCCCAACACAGATCTCCGGCAAAAGGAGGCCACTCTGCTCCTGGTGCTGTGATTTTGTACACGCACACACGTGCTCCTACGTGCGTGTAAATGCCACAGAGCTTCACTATTTCTACACAGTCTGTTCACTCCCAGACAAGGCAGAGGGGCCGTCTTCCAGCCACAGGAGCGCTTTGCTCTGAGCTCTTGTGAACAAGGCAAAGACACTGAGATCAGGCTTCCAGCCTCACACCCACTGCTCTGTGTACCTTCCACTGAGTTTCTAGATCGCTGCTTTGAAGTTTTTGATGCCAATGACCGGGATGCTCTGCTGGAAACCTCCACCTTAAAGAAAAGAAAATGAAGAAAGAATTAATGGACGCCTCACACAGCAAAACCATTAATAGCCTTATTTTTTAAGCTCTGCTTGTGGAAGAACAAGTACTGAAAACAGCAGCAGCGTCCACAGGCTTTGAGGGGGATCTCACAGCAACTCAGCACGGTGCAAGCAAGCACTTGGGACCTGAGAGTGCGGGCTGGGAGGAGGTGGGGCTCTGCACTCCCAATGCAGAGCTTTGTGTAGCTACAGCCAGGCAGAAAGCTGCTGACCACACCCGGAGGACACGCCCACTGGGTGTGCTTATGAGGACCAAACCTCTGCTGATCCCACAGCCACACACTGCTGCTCAACAGCGCGACACGGTCTGCGAACTGTGCTGTGTGGTCAGCAGGTTCCTCAGTGTGGTCAAACAGAGGGTCCTTATGCAAATGAGACGGCTACACTGTGATCTCACAGGACCACGTCTTTACAAGCGGTCCATCAGTGACCGAGCCGCTAATCAGTGTTTGTAAACACCTGGGAAAGAAAACTCACTGCCACTGTTCAGGAGAACGTGGACCTCAGAAAACTGCACAGAGCTGGCCTCACCGTCCCACCAGAGAGCAGCCAGCGGGCTCCCAGCTGGCCTCCCAGTCCAACTCGGCTGCTCCAGCTCCCCACATCCCCAGGAGCTCTCACCCTCCAGAGGGCCCCTCTGCTTGGTGGCTGAGTCTGACCGCCAGGACAGCCAGGCAGCCACGACAGGCCACAGCTGCACCTCAGCCACCAGAAACACACCGGAGGGACCCAGACAGGTCAGGCAGAGTGTAGCAGGGCCCCACCAAGCCCCTGTGGCCCATTAGCCTGGGGACTCCATCCCCTCCCGACTGTCACCTCCATCGTCCCAAGTGACCACCTGTCCCTTTGCGCCCCACATACCATGCTAGTCAAACAGAGAAACCAGCCCATCTGCCCCGCCAGGTGGGAAGCCACTTAGATCACCACTTTTATAACAAGGTAAGGGGCACTGTTCTGTGTGAGCCCAAACCGTGCTCTCCTCCTGGCCCACTGGATGAGGAAAGGTCAGCGCGTTCACTGCAGCAACTCAGCTGGGAGTGGACGTCTCTCAACACCGCACCTGCTGTAGAATTTACCTCTGTTTCCGCTTTGGAGTCTTTGACAGGTCCATCCGAAAGCTTCTTAGACATCTCCCCAGAACTTGCTGACTATAAAGAAGAAATTTGAACTTAGAATTACCTAAATCTGTAACATCTAAAAAAGTCTAACATCTAAAAGTATACCAAGACCTGGCCCGTGACACTGACCAGCTTCTACTCCAGATCTGATCCAGCAGCCTTCGTCTGCCTGGACTACCAAGCAAACGGCAAAAGGTCACTTTCCCTGCAAGACATCAAATGCTCCTGCCTCTCCACAAACCACAAGAAATATGATCCCTGTGATCCCTGATCCCTGTGATCCCTATGATCCCTATGATCCCAATGTCAGGAGGAATCTTTAGAAAACACATCCCAGTGAAATACAGGATCAGGAAGCACAGGAAGGAGCAGACATGAATGCCCAGAGCCCACAGAGAAAGCGCTCCTCCTTCTGACAGCTGGACCTCTTCCTCCTGACTAAAGCAATCTGCAGGCTTCAGTAAGGAAACCACCACAAGAATGCCATCAACACCAATATATGCCTTAAATCAGTTCTGAAAAGACACATTTGGGTGGAAGGAGCCACATTGTCACCAAGGAGATAGCAATAATGAAAGTCCTCAGGAGTTAACCACGAACCTGCCAGACTGCATCACCGTAATCACCCACGTAGGCGAACGCCGCTGTCAGCTATTCCGTTAGAGGACCCACCGCACACTGCAACCCCGCCACCTTTGTACTCACCCTTCTCAACAAAGCCCGAGGCAGCCAGCCGAGGAGCACCTGACCCTGCTCTCTTCCAGCAGGAGAGACATGGGGAGGAGGCAGCGCCTCACCTGAGAGTGGAGTGACTGTGCAGAGTAGGATCAGGACCCCAGACCTAAACCCATGAAGACTGAGAGCTGGCGTCCTGCGAGACGCCTCTCAGCAGCTTGCCACTCTGTCACTTTGACAGAGACCTCACCGCACCTTCCAGGCCCACAGCACTGAGGAAGATGCCCCAGACGTGCAACTGAAGCGCCCCTTGGGCAGACTCCACGGAAGACTGAGTAAGGCCGACCTCACTCGGTCTCAGCCTCAAATCCTTCTAAGCAAAACCACTGTCCCTGTGCCAGTACTTCACTGACCTTGCCGCAGGGTGCCTGATCTGAGGACTCGGCACAGGCTGCTCTGCTCGAGGGCTGCAGACACGCGAGCACCTCCCAAAACGCAAGTCTCGGGCAGCTACGCCGAGGGAGGAGCAGGACTGTCTGTGACGGCCACCCTCAGTCAGAAGGGAGCCCAGGTCTTTAGAACAAAGACCACAGCATGCTCCTCCAGGAGGTGCACGGGAGGAGAAAAGCGCCACCTTCAGGAGTACGTCCCCAAAGTGCCAGGGACGCTAAACTCAACACTAACAAACAGCAGCCGTCGTTTGGGCAGGCCCCGGCTTTCTCAAAACGGGCTTCCACAGACCTCCCCAGAAAGGCCAGGCCATGGGCCGTGGGCTAGGGGTCCTGTGGAGCCGCTCCTGTCCTAGCACAGCCGTGCTCGGAGACACAGGGCTGCAGCCCAAGACAACTGTCCCAGGAGGAGAGAACAGCTCCCCCCAGTCCACACCCTCACCACCTGGCCATGTCACTCAGGCAGGCTCATCTGGAACGGTCCAGACCTCTGCTACCCCCAGCCAGCGGCTGCAGCCACATCTGAGTCCCACAAGAGAGCCACCTGGATAACTGGTCCTGATGTGGAGGATGAGTTCTGAAGCAATTTGTACATTTCAAAAACACAGTTAAAAACCAAAAGGATTTCCTGGCCAATCCTAAATTCACCTGTACATGGTATTAAACAAGAATTACAGCACACTGAGGCCTTGCGGCACTTATCTGCCAGTAGCCGAACGCCTTTGGGAGCAGCCCTAACCCTTAACAAACACAGAGAGGTCCTGCCGCACAAAGACCACATACGCAGCACGCACTCCTGTGGACGCTGCTTATAGCACCCAGGGAGAGGATTCCAGGCCTTCGGAAACCCACACGCACATGTGGCCAGAGGAAGACAAGGGCAACTCGGGCGAAGGAGCTCAAACCCTGCAAAATGTTACTTTTTCAACATGCCTGGCAGGGAGTCGTCACATCCTAAACTAAAAACTGTAAGAACAAGCACCTAATGATACTTCCTGGCTCCTTCCTCCAAATTAGATCAGAATTCCACACAGAGGCTGCACACACCACCGTCAATCAATTGGTTCCACAATCTGAAAACTCACAATCCCTTGTTAATCCTTAATCTGTTCCTTCCCCAAATTTTTACTGTAGACCTACTATGTGCCAGAACTCTACAAGGATTCAACTGTGAACAGACAATTGACAAATCTGACTTTTTCGCTAATGGATACAACGTGGAGACTGGCTGCAAGCTTAATAAATGGCTGAGTCAGGCAGTGCAGCACACGACTGTGATCCCACCTCTTGGGAGGCTGAGGCAGGAGAACTGCTGTGAGGTCAAAGCCAGCCTGCACTACATAGTGAGACTCTGTCTCAAAAAAAGAAAACTAAACAAAGCAAAACACTGGCTGAACAAGAAACTGCTATGAATGAATGGCAAAAAATTTTTAATTGAAAAGAAAAAAAAAAAAAAAAACTGGCAAGAAACTGGTGTCTCTCTGGGTTACTACTGGGAATCCAAAACTGCCATAATTTTAAATTGGCATCAAAGAAAACCAGCTTCCTAATTACACTGTGGAAGAGACAGAAGTCACTTTAGGGAACCACAAACAGCTGAAGCTCCGTCAGGACTCACCTTCTTCCCCGGCCGGTCCTGCTCCTGGCTCTTCTCCCTGTCGGAGTCCCTGGGAAGCGGCCTGTCTCTGTCCCGGGCTCTCTGGCGCTCCTGGTCCCTCGCCTTGTCCCGGTCGCGCTCCCCGTCCCGGTCGCCGTCCTTCTCCCGGCCGCCCTCACTCCTCCTCTCCCGCTCCTTCTCCTGCCCGGCCTCCCGGTCCCGGTCCCGGTCCCGGTCCCGGTCCCGGTCCTTGTCCTTGGGGCCTCCGTCTCTGTCCCGCTCCCTCTCGGGCCTGGCCCGGTTTCTGGCTCTGTCCCGCTCCCCTTCTCTGTGCTTGTCCCTGTCAGGCTCTCTGTGTCGCTCTCTGTCGCTCTCCTTCTTCTTCTCCTTGTCCCTTTCTCTCTCCCTGGGTTTGCTCTCTTCCTTCGCTTCTTCTTTCTGTTTTTCATCTCTACTTGTACTTCTCTCCTTTACTTCAGAGTTTCTTCTACCCTAAAATGAGAAACGGATGATTTGTAACGGTGTCACCTCCACAGCAGAAAGCCTCACCGCCTCACTTTCGAAGACGCACAACACGCAAGTCACCTCTTTGTCTTTTCGCGTCCTGGACGCCTCTTCCCTGGCGTTCTTATTGTCCAGCTCATGAGACTTCGAGGTCCGCACAGCCCTTCCTCTCGCGTCCCCCTTCTCCCCGGCTAAAACCCGCTTCACCGCATCATCGCTAGAGAGCTTGGCGTCCAAACGTCCGGAAATCAGATCCAAGGTGGAAATGAGATTTGCACATGAAACAAACATGAAAGTCAGCATCCGAAGACAGCTCACTCAACAGACTCACAGCAGTGACACTCAAAGGATAAAATCCTAGAGGAAAACGCCGTTTTCACAGACAGCACAGCGCCCCTCGATGACCATTACTAATGATCAGTCCTGAGCAGGAGAGGCCATGCAAGCTATCAAACCCTGGTTCAGTTCCAGCTCACCGGCCAGGGCAGACGTGTGTGCGAGTCAAGGGCAGGAAGGCGGACCCACACCACTCTACAAATCCTTCTCCTGCAGACGGGGCCGCAGCATCCCAGCTGGGAGACCTTAAAACAGAGTCTAGTAACCTCACGCCCATTCGGACAGCTGCTAAAGAGAAGAGGAACAGCCCAATTTATCATGTGACCTAGTAATTCTCCTGAGTGCAAGCCCCGAAACTGAAAACTGTCCTTGAAGAGACACGTCCACACCACGTTCAGAGTGGCTAAAATGTGGACGCGAGATGTCCAGAGAGATGAATGGACAAGAAAAACGTGATCTGTTCATGGCATGAAATGTTATTTACCCCTAAAGGAGGAGGAGATTCCAACCCACGCTACCACACAGATAAGCTCTGAGGACATCGCACTAGTGACAGAGCCTGTGGTGAAAGGACACCTGCAGCTCGGACAAGGCTCCCAGTGCAGTCAAACTCAGGGCGGCACAAGGGAGAAGGGCGGCCACCGCGAGTTGGAGAGGGGAAGAGGAAGTGACCGTGCGACACGGAGGCTGTTGTGCAAGGTGAAAAGCATTCTGGCCAGGCGTGGCAGTGAGACCACACGCACAACATCATGAATGTATTTAACACCACTCAACTGTACACTCCAAAGTGGTTAAGATGGTAACTCTTGCCAGGCATGGGGGCTCATGCCTGTAACTCCAGCTACTAGGGAGGCTGAGGCAGGAAGATCACAAGTTCAAAGCCAGCCTGGTCAACTTAGTGACTTAACTAACTCAAAACAAAAGGGGCTAGGAATGTATCTCAATAGTAGAGTACCCCGGGCTCAATCCCCAGTACTTAAGGAAAAAAAAAGATGGCTAATTTTATGTTATGCGGATTTTAACACAATAAAAAAAGCAGGGGTGGTAAAAAATATCTGATCTAATTCAAACCCTATCAAATGCAAAACTTCCTTCTCCAGTGCCCCACATGCCCCTGGGGTGCTGCAGGGTTACCTTGTTAAGACAGCACCTTCCCATCATCTGCAGCAGCTCATTTGTCCTCTCGGGCTCATGCCCGGCCACGATTCGCGCTGGTTTGGCCAACAGAGGCTCTCCTGAGACTATCACGACCACGTCTATGGCCTTCTGCAGGAAGCTGATTTTTGCATCTTTATCCTGAAATGATTCCATTGAAAACACAAATGTTAAACAACTCCAAAGAGTATGCATTATCCTCAGTGTGATCAACAGGCAGAGGACATGTCCTCTTTGCATAAAAAGCCATTTCTAGATGTGTCAAATTTAGAAATATTGATATTTATACTATAGCAAAAGCAATTCATTAAAATTTTTTGTCTGGGCGATGGGATAGCATTAACCCCTACAGTACTCATTCTAAAATTCTGATTTTCAACAGATACATCTAGCACGACATGAGGTAGTCCAAAATGAAGTGAAATGAGGAAGGTATTCAACCACTCCTGAGTTCATCGGCCTCCCGTCCCGACTACTCCTCAGCATATAAATGACGCAGCAACAAAGCAGCCTCCCAACCGCCCCGCTCATTAAGGGCCCACTGAGGAGGAGCTGCGCCAGCCTACCTTGACATTATCGGACTTCATCTCAGCATCTGTGTAGAGTCCCTTCATGAAACCAGTCATCCTGATCACCTTGGGAAGACAGAGGCCATCACGAACCTCAGGGGACGGCCGCTGCGTTGGCCTCACCACTGAACGCACCTTCAGGGCAGTCAGAACCGGCCCACGCCCAGGACTCTGACCACCCACTTGCTCAACAAACATCTGCGGTCTCTGCGTGGGACTCTGTGCCCAGCATGGAGAACACCACAAAGCCCAAGCGCTGGAAGCCACAGGAGGGTGGGCTCCCGCTCCCCAGGACCAGTCACTCCTAACCTGGAACCACAGGTCATCAGAAGAGCAAAGGGGCACAGAGGAAGCTCGTATCCCATCAAAGAGCCTGCTCGAGAGAGCCGCAGTGTGTGATGGCAGGAGCCTGAGGCCAGAGAGCCACACAGGGTAGGCGCACTCTGCAGCCACAAGGGACCACAAAGCCAGCCTAAGGACACGAAGGAGGCCAGACTGGTTCTAACGCAGGGAAGGACCTGACCACCAGGCACTTCCCAAGAGTCGGAGCGGAGGGGAAGGATTCCAGACAGAATCACTCAGAACCACTCAGCCTGGGCTGAGTTCCAGAGGGTCTTTCTCAGTTCTTAGGACAGTGTGTGCTCTGCATCCCATCCCTTCTGGTCTCTCCCTGCCTGGCCCTCCCCTCAGTATCTGTGCCTGTGATGACCCCTAACACCGGCCTGCACAGGGGCCACTGTCCCTGTGCCTCCCACCCGCACACCCAACTGAGGTCTGGGTTCTCAAAGACCACAGGCTTTCCAAATGTGCTGGGAACAATCAATAGAATTAGCAGCAACAGCGTTTACTACAAAATGAAACAGAACAGAAAGTATCAGGTAGATGGCACACAAGGACAGGTATGCCTATAACACGTCAGGGTCAGCTCCAAAGCATTTACTGTAAAGCAGGTTTTAAAAATAGCAACCCCTCCTCTGGAATCAAGCTACAATTGAACTACTTAAGAGCTGTGCGTGCGTGCGTGCGTGCGTGCGTGCGTGTGTGTGTGTGTGTGTGTGAAGACAGGTGGAGGTGGATGCTGAGAGGCTCCTGCACTTCACGTGGCTGGAACCTGCTCCCTCTTCCCCTGTTGAGCTCTCTTAGGGTGCTGGCAGTTGAACCACGAGCAGTAACTGTAAGTGACTAGAGACACTAATGTCACAGATGGGACGCTCAGTTTAATGACAGCTGCAGTTAGTTACCTACAGCTAATGCTCTGGAACAGAGGCTTGGACCCAATATTCAGCGACAGTAAAGACTCTTACCAGGGGGCTGTGCACCTACTCTCTGAAAATGCTCTCCAGTGCGCCCCTCACTCTGCACCTTCATTAAGGAGGGGACAAGTCATCTATCATTATACCAGGTCAGAAACTAATTTCCGTATCAGATCAGAAAAGTCTGGAGGAAAAGCAGGCCGGCTCCTGGCTGGGGGCGCACACCTGTCTGTATACCTGCCCACCTGCCAACAGTCAACTCCTGCTTGTGTGTTGCTCCTCCCTCCCACAACTGAAGGCGCGCTCCACCTAACCACAACTGCTCACTGGGCAGCCACCATCGGCGGAGCCCCAGCCTGAGTGTCCACCAGATGAGGATGGTCCCTCACCTCCTTCCTTCTGTGGACTCTACATCTCAGGGGGCTCACAGGCCTCACACAGAAGATAATACAGGCTTTGGCAGCCTCCGCTGTAATGGGCCAGGCTCACATGCGGGCTAGTTCCTCCTTGCTCACTCTGAGGCAGGGGCATTGCCCACTTCCCAGGGCAACGGTGACACAGCACACCGCCAAGCCCCTTCTCCGAACCCCATCCAGAACACCTTGGGAGGAGGAGGCCACCAGCCAGTGCAGCTCACAGGGATGTGTGTTTTTGAGCACAACTGGGATCTATAACAGGGGCACAATGCCGAAAGAGCACACATTACAAACTACAGCAGGATAGCTGAAATGACCACAGGAAAATCTAAGGAAGAGTAAGTCACCTAGCCTCTTTAAAAGAGTAAGAAACAATTCAGGTGTGATGGCACAGGCCTCTAATCCCAGCTAATCAGAAGGCTGAGGCAGGAGGTTTGCCAAGTTTAAGGCCAGCCGGGGCACCACAGCAATACCCTGTCTCAAAATTAAAAGAAAAACAAAAAACCTTTTTCTCATAAAGGACTTGGGGTGTAGTTCAATGGTAGATCACTTGCCTAGCATGCATAAGGCCCAGTGTTCAATCCTCAGGATGAAAAAAGAAATTTCAGAGTGAGAAAGTTTGAGAACCAGAACTGAGTGGGATTAGGAGCCCTGGAAGCCTGCGAGTTCAACCGACTCCTAAGTCCCCAGGGGTGCCGGAGTTCCCCAGTGTCTTCAGGGGCACCATGGAAATAGGCGCCGCCGCCCCCTGGGGCGACAGCACTGAGTTGCCAGGTGCCTTGACAGACTCCACTCAACAGTGATGTTTGCTGAGCAATTTCTATGTACCTTCCCCAGCACAACGCGCCAAGACACCCTAACAGACAGGCTTCGGCCTCTGGGACCGGAACCCACCTCCTCCACGGCGAAAGCCACACAGACAGCCGAGCCCAAGTTCAGGCAAGCTGTGCGGTTTATCAACAAGTATCACTGCAGCCTTACGGCGCTCCTTCCAAGTTCCCCTACAGCCGATATGAGCACCTAGGAGTACTTATCACGCACCACGCCGTGGTGATCGCTGCACCAAGCAGCGGGGTCTCTAGAAACAATTCCCCCGCCCGGGACGCGCGCAGCGACGGCTGCAGGCTAGCCACGAGGCGTGTCCCGGGGTTGGAGGACGGGACCAAGGCAGAACCGGCTCTGCCGGCAGAGGGCAGGGACCCCAAAGGGACGCCCGCCCGGAGGACGAAGAACGAGACGCCGCCCGCGGGACCGAGGCCGCCCGGCTGGGGGCGCGGCGGGGAGCCCGCGGGTGGCC